GCACGAATGTGTATTTTGCCGTTGCTGTTTTCGCGGTCAATGTAATATTTCAAATGCACCCCTACAATTTTGAGGCAAATTGGAATGGTCCAGAAATAATATTTGATTTTAATTTGATCATATTTTTTTCAGTTCTTTACCATCCAACCACCATTAGTTTAGCAACTGTTGTCATGACAGACATACACAAAGTTCCTACAAGGGCCACAAACACTCACTCACCACACGTCACTCCGCTGTCGTTATACATCTTTATATTGGGGACAATTTCTTCAGACAGTGGGGGAAAAGAGTTTTTTTCTATCATGTGCTAATGTAAACAATAGCCTGGATTGTAACACTCCTGGCTAATCATTGGTTTACAGCAAGGTTGCAAAGTTCTAGCTACATGCAGAAGTCCTGGTGGTGGAGAGAAGATGCCGGTGTACTCTTGTTTTCAATGACTAGAGGTTGTTGTCAGTGATCAGGCCCACCACGTTGTCTGGAAGACTGTTCCAGATGTCAACTGCAGTGTGTATGAAGGTTCTGCCGGTGGCGTGAATTCTAGAGACCGGCACAGTGAGGGCATGTTTTCCAGTGGAGAGACTGCTGCGGGTTGTGCGTCTGTAGACGATGTTGAATAAACTTGTAGTTTTCATGACAAGCTGTGTGGTTTTGTTGTCAAGGTGCTGAGAAATAAACATTACAGACCCTTAATTCATTGCGATTCATCCATGTGTGTGTATTTGTGTGCTATGACCTTATTTGACATGTATGTCTGATCCTGTTAACCAGTTTGCCACGCTTATTTCCGACAGTTAAGTCCGTTCAGCCTTGTTCGTAGAAAACGGATTTATTTCGTCCATACCCGTAATTTTGTTAGCAATACGAAATACGAACAGGCCATTGTAAGTAAATAAGTATAGCCTGACTCTTTGATTGTCAAAAGGTTCCTAATTGTTGATATTTTTGCACACGTAAAGTTTTCCAAAATGTCATTTTCAGCTTGTAACTTGATTTAGTGCAAATGCCACAAAACTGACAGCGTAACTGAATTTACACCAGTCTAACAGCTTAAACCTAACAATACACTGATTATTGAGTTTACTGTTCCCAATGTATTAAAGGAGATATTCTAATTTCTCTGCAGTTAGCTCAGGACAAATCGGAGACCAGACCGACAACTTAAGAACGAAGAATTGTGGTTTGTGCTAAGCCAGACCAGAGAAAGTCTACCATTAAGAAATCGATACAAGCTCGTTTCGATCAGTAACCTATCAGGGTTTTTCTTGTGAAAAGTTAAGTTTAGTACCTCTACAGGTAATCAAGAATGGGAGGCAAGTTTTGTATCCTTGCGACACTGATGTTGTTGGTTTTCGTTCTGTCGTTGGAGATGGGAGATTCCATCATAACAGGGCAACGAGCTGAGCATCTAAAAAGTAAGTAACTGTGCAACATTTCTCTCTGTGCTCACTAGTACTGTAGCGCAAAGCGTTCACTTCAAGCTGGCACAACTTCAAGCAGATTCAAAGACCCAAAGACTAAACAGGATCTAGTAGTACGTGGTTGTGAAAATGGAATAGAAGCTGGACATAACTTTTCTCAGTATGTGGAGTTAAATTTAAGACTAGTCTTTTTTAAAATCAAAATTTGATAACTCACTATAAGAGCAGGAACAACAAGACAACTTTACTATGTACAGCATTAACCTTACTGGCCCCTACAGTATGTGTTACTAATCTTGTATGTCCACTGAAGTGTATTTACTTAATGTTACTCCCAATATTGTATATACGTGACTGTGTATATCATGTTAGCTGTTGCGTGGCTTTGCCAAAGTTAGTCCAATGAACACGTGGCTCTTTTATATATTGGTTTATTTCACAAATACAATAAACAGTACAATTGGTATGTTTCACATCGCAGCCACAGGCTGAATTGCGTGCACATATTACATATTACTTATTAAAATCATGATGCCGCAACTGTTTAAAACCCTAGCTTATTTACTTTTAAAAACTAGTAAAGTATATACAATAACACTAAATGCAAGGACAATGAATTCAACCTGTAAGCACAAAAGGACTCTACGGATACCCTACTATACAGAGTTGTTCAACAGTGTGACAAAGTATTTCTATAACGGTCGGTTCTTGCTGGCAACTGGTCAATCCGTCTGTTCTGTCTGGTCACCCTGCCGCTAATGTTACCTCTATGTTCTGGCAACCAGTGACTGTGACTTAGATTAGAACACTGTGGCAACCAGTGACAGTGACTTATATTAGAACAGATTTGTAGGAACAACTCTAATAAGGTCATTTTCTATAATTCTTCAGACAGGCTTGTAAGGTTGAAAACAAGGATTGATGCGGTCAACCTGAAAGTGGCCCAAACTACTGTGACTTTGAACAACATGGCGGAGACTGGTCTTCCGGAGGTCCCGGATGTTCGACCACAATCGCCATCAACCGGTAAGGTCGTATCTCTGTAACGTTATGCATATGTGTGTGTGTGTGTGTGTGTGTGTGTGTGTGTCTCGGTTGGGTTAAGGCGGCCTAGGCTGATATTCATGTTCGAGTTCGGGCGTGTGTCTGCACGATTGCCACATACATGTTTCGAACCCGAATCATGTTCCACCATGTTCGATATGACGTCATTCGAATAGAACGCGTGTTCGAATTCGGGGTTACCGGCGGTCATTTGTATGTTTTCCCTGTAAACCCGCGTTGTTACGCATTTTATTCTCGGAGTATGACTTAAACGGCTTTACGCGCAGCTGAAAACAACATAATTCATCTTTAGAGTAATCCATGTTTACATATTATCACTTTTTTATCAAAATTATCCGAGGCTATTTTGCATATAAGTCGAAATTTTTTAACTGTGGCGATTTTTTAACGAAAAATGACAGAAAAATAGCTGTTTCTGTCGTTTTTGGCCCAAAAAAAAAGTGTAACTGTCATTTAAAACAAAATAGCCTCGGACAAAAATAATAAATAGGGGGTTGGCTTTCTACTTGTAAAATATCATGATGAAAGGTGTTGTTACCGCTTGCGCGTAAAGCCATGAAGTAAACAGCTTTTTTTTAACCAAAATGTTGATTTTTAACCCAAAAATTCAGAAGTAGTAAAAACAAAATAACCTTTATTCAATGTGTTTCAAGTACTACTAGAACTGTGTGAAGTTAAGTTCTGGTGCGACCAAGCTATCAAAAGTTACAGCCATATGTATGAAATACTAATCATAGTTGGCCATAGGCTGCCTTAACCCAACCGAGGTGTGTGTGTGTGTGTGTGTGTGTGTGTGTGTGTGTGTGTGTGTGTGTGTGTTTGCATGCTTGTAGGTGTGCATGTGTGTGTGTGACTGTGTGCGTGTGTGTATGTATATGCGATTGTGTATGTATGTGCGTTTGTTCATGTGCGTGTGTGCTTGTGTGTGCATGTGTATGCATACAATTCTCTTCAAAATTCTTCCCTACTGTCTTGCTAGTTTAATACAAAAACAGCGATCACTTAAATGCCGTTTAAATAATATATTACTTGACAATGGCAAAACACATTTGTACAAAACAAGCAAACTGCCTTTAGAACAAGCTTCTGAAATGAGCCAAACATAAATGCCCATTTCTTCTTTTTTTTTTTTGCTTTTTTTTTCAAGTTTAGGTCACAGTAATTTTTATGGATGACATCATTGTGCGCATTAATTTTCGCCTGATTTTGGAACAAAAAATGGAGAAATTTTGTTATACTATCATGAAAGTTCATCTGTGTTGGTAGTTACATGTTTAAAGTTACAACTTTTGGTCCAACACAAAAAATTCTCTCACCTAGAGCATTCGACCAGTCACTCTGGTCTTCCTCAGTAGACTGACCCAGTGAAGCTTGTCACGTGGCTTCTTTGAAGTGTGACGTCAACACTGGGTCAAAGGTATCTGGTAGACGATGTCGGACCCCGTCGCGGTTCAATCCCCTTCAATGTAGGGTGATGGGCCCTGATGTATATGGCTTCCTTCACCCCTCTCAAGAAATAGTCTTGTTCAGTGTCTAAAATCCTTACAGTGTCAAGTGAACTTTGACTCTAACCATCCACTTGACCACAAACTGTGGTAAAATCTGGGCTGCAAAATTCCCACATTTCATAGAACCCGAACTGTGTTCGATGGTGTTCGATCTGGGCAATTCGACTCGAACCCGCGTTCCATTTCGGGGTCACCAGCGGTCATTTACAATAAAACGGCAAAACGAGCCCTTCTGCCTGAGTGCCTCGCAACAGATAAAAAAAAACAACACTTTTCTATAGATACAGACAGTTTCCTGGACAGTACATGTCCTCTATAATTTTTGGTGGGTATGTAACATGTAGCGAAGCTACTGTCGTATCCTTGGGTGACCTTGAATACTGTAATGATTCTTTACGCTTGTATGAATAACACAATGCACACTTTCTGGCGATATGACATATCTGCAAAACTCGTTCAAACCTGAAAACATGGAGAGTCAAACATACCCCATTTATGGCTCATAATCACTGTCACGATTGTCCCGAAAATCGTGCTTTAGGGATTTTTGAAAAATGCCCTCGATTTTGAATTATGGGTAATTGAGTGCGAAAAAAGCAAAAAAAAATCGATTTTTTCACCTATTTGTCGACAAAAAGTATACTTAGAGTCAGAAATTAAAAAAATCCCTAAAGCACGATTTTTGATCTTATTCCTAGTCGTCAAAACATATAAAAATCAGTGATCTTGCGTGATATGTGTAGCCAGGTTTGCTCGGGGATTGGCTAAAATATGGCGTTGCGAAATCCCGAAAATCATCGACAACGAAATGCGAAAAAATCATCCATTTAGCGCAAAAAAATCACCATTGAATACATGTAAAGACAATAATTTTATTTTATTTCAACGAAACTTTGATACTAGTTTCAAATGTTTTACGGTTAGCCCAAAATTGCGTCTTGTAACCCGATACTTTATCGAACGCCCCCAGCAATGGGAAAGAATACCGTAGTAACAGACCGCCATGGTGATTAGGACTCTATGTCACAGAGCCAACACCATAGTGTCAGATCCACAGGATTTAGAGACCGAGAAGTCCCACCTGACCCAAGCGTTAAAAACTTGTGGCTACCCCCAGTGGGCCATCAACAAAGCGACCTGCCCAAAACCATCCAACACCAAACCCTCAGCAGGAAGTCCAAGGGGTTGGTAGTCCTTCCATACATTAAGGACTTGTCTGAAGTTCTCAGGAGGATTTCCCACGGGATTGCAACTTGTTTCAAACCAACCACTACTTTAAGACACATTCTTGTTGCGCCCAAGGACAAAACCCCCAAAGAGAAGAAGCCTGCCAGGGCAAAAGCAACAAGGGGCCCTACCAGGAAACGTACATTGGGGAAACAGAGAGGTCTCTAAAAGCCAGGTTTTAAGAACATACACGGCCTAGCTATGCCAGTTCAGAGGTGTCTCAGGATTTTAGACACTGAACAAGACTATTTCTTGAGAGGGGTGAAGGAAGCCATATACATCAGGGCCCATCACCCTACATTGAACTGCGACGGGGGCCGACATCGTCTACCAGATACCTTTGACCCAGTGTTAATGTCACACTTCAAAGAAGCCACGTGACGAGCTTCACTAGGTCAGTCTACTTAGGAAGACCAGAGTGACTGGTCGAAAGCTGTAGGTGAGAGAACTTTTTGTGTTGGACCAAAAGTTTTAACTTTAAACAAGAAATTTTGTTGCCTTCTGACAGTGATCAACATGCCGAAAATGTCTGCTTGCCATGCCGGAAGGTGGACCACGGCGGTCTGTCACTACAGCATCCTTTCCCATTGCTAGTAGCGTTCTAAAATGTATCGGGTTACAAGACGCTATTTTGGCCTATTTTGGACTACCCGTAAAACACTTAAAATAAACAAAAAGGATTTAAAAGTAAATTTCGTCAAATTAAAATGAAATTATTGCCTTAACATCCTTTTGATATTAGCTGTTTATGTTAAATCATTGATTTTGCAAAATTTCTCTAAGAAAGACGATTTTTTTCGGGTTTCCGACCACAAGTCATGCTTTAGGCAAACATCGTTTAAACCTGGCTACGTATATTACCCCAGATGCCTGATTTTTATATTTTTCGACGACTGGGAATAAGATCAAAAATCGTGTTTTAGACACTGAACAAGACACTTTAGGGATTTTTTAATTTCTGATTTTAAGTCTAGTTTTTGTCAACATATTGGTGAAAAAATTGAAATTTTTTACATTTTTCGCAGTAAATTACCCATAATTCAAAATTGAGACCATTTTTCAAAAATCCCTAAAACACGATTTTCGGGACAACCGTAACGGTCATTTTGAGCCGTGAATGGGGTATGTTTGACTCTCCATGCTTGCAGGTTAAAACGAGTTTTGCAGACATGTCATGTCGACCAAAAGGCTGCCATGTGTTATTCACACTGGTGTAAAGAATCATTACAGTATTCAAGGTCACTTAAGGACACGACAGTAGCTTCGCTACATGTTACATGTCCACAAAAAATGATAGCGGACATGTATTGTCCAGGAAACTGTTTGTATCTATAGAAAAGTGTTGTTTTTTATCTGTTGCGAGGCACTCAGGCCGAAGGGCTTGTTTTGCCGCTTTATTGTAAGTGACCGCAGGTGACTCCGAAATAGAACGCGGGTTCGATTCGAATTGCCCAGATCGAACACAGTTCGGATTCTATGACATGTGGGAACTTTGCAGCCCAGTTTTTACCACCGTGATCGCAGATAACTATGAAGAGAAAAGACAAAAAACCATCAGATTTAAGTTTTGTTTCTTACTTTAATGCAGTGATATGTGATGCTGGCTGTGTATATGTGATGTTCCCAATGAATTAAAACCATTTGTACCATGATTGAGTCAAAATCTTAAAATATAGGAACCTTGTTTTGAATGTAGGAACCGTCTTCCTTTTTTTTCGCCCGCTCACATTAGATTTGGAGTCTGTCATCCATAGAATTTACTTGCTGTGGCCTTATGAAGAATGTTCCACGCCATATATTTTTTCACTTTTATGATTTGGCCCATTGCAATTCTCAATCACTTGTGAAGTGCAGGTTTATCTAATACAATTAACATTGTCTTTCATCTTAGTGTATTTGCAGGCATGTCCAGACGGTTGGACGAGAAACAAGCAGTCATGTTACCTGCTAGTGGATACTCCAAAAACATGGCAAGACGCCAGGGACGCATGTCATCAGCTCCAGGCAGATCTAGCCAGCCTTACTACCGCAGATGAACAGGTGAGGTTACATTGTTACGAGTTTGAATGATCACGCATGCAAATAGAAAACACCAATTCATCATTTGTATCACTACATTCTCCATGGAACGAACCGGTATCAGACGTCAATGACAGAATCATGAGAGATAAGTTGACGATGCCATTCTAGGGAGGGGTGGTCACGATATACGAATATACGTATTGCAGAAATGTGTCAATGTATTCATTTATGATTTATGACCAAGTTTGTTCCTGTTGATACTGTAGTTATTCCAGGATATCATCAAATGATGAATACTGTGTTTGGTGACTATCGTATCCAAAACCGTGCCAATCTGGTTGAGTGCCTGGATGGTTCTGGATACGCGCGGACTATCCAGAACTGTGCCTGATCATAGTTATGGGCAAAGAAAGGTTCCCAATACACACTGACTATCCAGAACTGTGCCTGATCATAGTTATAGGTAAAGAAATGTTCCCGATACTAGTATGCGCGAACTATCCAGAACTGTTCCTGATCATGTTTCTGGATAAAGCACGGTTATGGATACAACCGTGACCTTGGCCCTTTTTTGTTCCGTTGTAGACTTACATGGCAGCACAGGTCGACGACACCTACTGGTTCGGTCTGTCTGACATTGTGGCTGAAGACGACTGGCAGTGGGAGGACGGCACGAACTATGACCCTACAGTCACGTGAGTTCTTGTCAATATGCGTTAGGCACTTCGGGTCATAGCCTGAGCTCATGAGGACGGATACCATATACTAGTGACCGTAAGGCAAATTTTGATGTGACCCAAAACGTTCACGTCCTAACATTGACGTCTAACGAATTTTGAGGCGGGCTTGGTATTAGGCCATAACAAAGGAGCCCCCCTTTTAAGAGGGAATTCTACATTACTTAAGAGGGAATGCTACATACACTTCCAAACAGCGATAATGCCATAAATACAAAATATACCTGTAATCCCTCATCGAGCCTGTCACACATATGGTCAAATATGTGGCCTCTCCTAACGATGCAAGTACTGTATTAAAATATCATTCATGTCTAACTACTGTGATACTTCCGTCAACACAACAAGAGAGAGAGGGGGGGGGTATGCACATACTGTGATACACATACACAAGCATACCAACACACACGCACACACATACACACAAAATCTTGTTTCACTCTGTGTTTTAGCAACTGGAACTCAAATGAGCCAAACAACATGAACGATGAGGACTGTGCCGAAATCGGGTCTCATGCATGGGGTTGGAATGACCAGGCGTGCACAGATAGAAATGGATACATCTGTGAGATACAAACAGGTGAGCTAAGAAATAGACAGCTTTCTCCCATATGTTCTTTTAGTTTCTCATTTCTTTCTTATTTGTTAACTTAACACAAAGGACAACAACGACACACTCAAGTTAACATTTTTCTTACGCCACGTGTTCACACAAAGCAAAAAATTCAAACGATTTATAGAGCTCCCACTTCCGTTGTCCAATATTGTTGTAATTATATATATATATATATATAATGCAAATTAGGTCATCATTTGCATAATTGGTATCTGTTGATGTTCCATCTGCCACAGATTAAAAAGATAACATGTATGGCAGTACTATTATATAAAACACTGTGATTATAGAATTTCCTCTGTTCCTCAATAATTATGTAAATTAAGTCCTCATTTGCATAATTTGCATTTAATTACGTGCAACTCTCTCTCAGCTATCTACATACCGAAAATGAAAATACGTTGTTCCTATCTGGACTTATTGGCTTTAAAGTTTTTACCAGAAACTAACCTGCAATTCCAGAACAAGCCGATAGGGGGACAAAACTTACACCAGCTATTTCTGACAATATAAGCTATCTGTCACAAAAAAATCAAGACCATAGCATGGTCAGGACAAAAGATACAAAAACCGGAAGTTCTGCTGCAGTCCAAGGTCATCCACCTGGACGCCCATATTTGACCGTGACCTTCGTCTTCCTAAGACCTACCAGCATACCAAATATAATCACAATCCATAAAGGTGTTATGAAGTTAGGCGGAAACACACACACACACACTTACACACACATAGACGCATACACACACGCACAGACAGGCCAAAAACAATACATCCACTTTTCATGAAGGTAAGAATACCTCAATTTTTCATGGAGGTAATAATCGGATCCATATCATATTACATGTAACAAATGCTATTTTTCCTGCAGGGGAGGTAAATGTTGCCCTCGGCAAAATGGCTACACAGAGCAGTACGATGATACCGCAATATCCTGCGGAACGAGCTGTGGACGGAAACACAGGAACCACTATGTACCTTCTGAACGAATGCACACACACGCACTGGGAGTACGAGCCGTGGTGGAAGGTTGATCTTGGAGACACTTACGTCATCAGTCACGTGACAGTCATTAACCGCGGAGACTGCTGTGGTGAGTGGATAGGAAACAGTTGGTTAGAACTATAATTATATCAGTTCGTATCTTTATTACACAATGCGTAAAATTGTAAGATTTACTTCAGAGATGTAAAAGATTAACCGCACATAATAATACTTTTATATACGGTATTACATAAAAATCACATGTCCAAAACTAAAACACATATGCTTGGATGTATAATTCTTAATCGGTCGTGAAGGGTGTAAACGTACTTTATCTTACTTAATTTTTGTTCTCTTACAAGTTCAAAACTTTCAAAGTAAACGCTATCCTCCGATTAAATTATTTAGGATCAAAAAGAGCTTCTAAATGTCTAAAAAAAGTTAGAACACCAGTTCTAAAAAGGTAGAAATACACCTCTTACAGGAGAACGACTGCGAAACTTCATGGTACGAGTCGGTCCATATGAGGACTTCCTTGAAAATACACCATGTGGTGACATTTACTCGGAAACTCCATCGAATGGAGAGACTATAGACGTGCGGTGTGAGGAGCCCATCTCAGGGAGGTGGGTGTCTGTCCAGCTGATCGGCCGGAAGGACGTCCTGTCTCTGTGTGAGGTACAGGTGTTTGCAGGGACAGGTGAGATGATAGCAATTTTTGGCCGTGTTTATGTGAAGTCACCCAAATCGCGATTCGGGTAACTCACATTCCTCATATCTGGTCCACTTGCCACACAATCCTTACAAACCGTGAACGATCACGATTCTACGAAACTGCATTCATTGATAACACGCAAGGTGGCGTGTTATCAATGTCAGGGGTCAACGACCTGCTTGCTGGTGCCCCCTCTCAGCGTATCTCGGCCGAATGCCGACGTGGTCCCGGCATAGGCGGTGAAGGTTGCCCTATAACGGACACATTATTTGACCATTACTTCCCTTTAAGTTGCTGCCACGCAAAATTTGATATTGCATACAAATAAAGAAATATCAGCCCGTAATCCATGACCAGGCGAAGTCACATTGAAGTCACATTGCGTTCAGACGCAAATCGCGATGCGGGAAAACCGATTCGAAACCACCTCTAGGAGTGTTTTGGGATCGAGGCGCTTTCAATGTGCTTTATTTGGAGCGTTCAGATAAAGCCACTTGAAACCGGCTTCGGGGTAAACCACATGTAAAGCGCCTTGAGTGACTTCACATAAACACGGCCTTTGGCAGATGTTCAGGCCTCATTAACGTTCATATTGCCCCAGCACAGTCCCAACAAGAATTCGTAGATCTCATACCTCCATGAAATATATGAGTTTTTGCAAATGACATGTCCTCATAATCCATGCAAATGACCTCTACATAAACATCATATATGCATAGTGTTGTTAACCTTTAAATAACTTGCACATGCCACAAGGTATCTCAGTTTGAGGTAACATTTCTCATATTTTGCCACAAAATATCATTAAACAGATGAAGAGTGTAAACAATGGTTATTTGGGGGTGAAAACTGATTTTAGATTCGAGCCTTACTTCCGGGTATTCTTGTGCGCCAAGTGTAATCCGCCCGTTTGACCCATGCTAATTAGTAGATGTGTAAACTAAAACCGCACCCTCTGCGCAAGCGCCTATAACTGACCTTTGACATGACTAAATCGAATATGTGGGGTTTTCTGCCACAGATGGGGCTGAAAAATGATTTGATTTGATTTATTAGAATTGCAAACAAGTACTATACTCGTGGGCCACAGGCAGCGGGGGCTGGTGTTGTGGCCCACACACAAAACAATCACAAGCACAGAAGCAAGACACACATTTAAACCTAGTATAAGTATATAGAATAAGTATAAGGGTACTAAAATCAGCATAGATTAGAATACTAGTATATCAGTCCATTTACTACTAGATACAGTTCATGCGGTTTCTAGCCGCCAGAATGTCTGGGGCCACGTCTCCGGGTCAACTGGTGCTTCTGCTGTGTGAGCAGGTGGGCCTGACACATGTTCTTAAATATACTAATGCTGCGGGCCTCTTTAACAGTGGTGCAGAATAATGGTGCAGAGCTTCTCCATATGGAGGTTGCCCGTACGGTCCCTTCTCGAGAGATCGCTCGTATGTCCTCTTACAATGTTTTTCAGGGTGCCGGAAGTTCGGGTCACTTTTAGGTTAACTGCATCTCTATCTGATCTCATCCTGTCTAATGTATCAGCCTGTTAAAGAGGCTCGTAACATCAGTGTATTCATGAACATGTGTCAGGCCCACCTGCTCACACAGCAGAAGCACCAGTAGGCCCGGAGACGTGGCCCCAGACACGAGAACATTCTGGCGGCTAGAAACCGCATGGACTGTACCAAGTAGTAAATTTACTAATAGATATTCGGTTGATATCTTCTAATCTATGCTGATTATAGATTGTAATTGTTATGTACTTAATATTGTTTAGGTTTAAATGTGTGTCCAGTTTGTGTGTTTATAATTGTTTTGTGTGTTGAACACAACACCAGCTCCCGCTGCCTGTGGCTAATGAGTATTATATTATATTGTCTGCAATTTCAATAAATCAAATCAAATCATTCTCTTCTAAAAACTAAAATTATGATTATATCCAAAAGTCATTAATACATAGTAACCATGATGTTAGTTTTAGCGGATAACATCGCTGAAGGGAAGCCGGCGTTCCAAACCTCGGTGGTGTGGGGTATGGTCGCCGGTCTGGCCGTTGACGGGAACACCGACACTGACTATTACCATGACTCCTGTCAGCACAATGAGGGAGAAACCAACCCCATGTGGTGGGTGGATCTCGGACAATCATTTTCGATTAACAGGTACGTGAAAGTCGTCTTGTTTAAAACAAAAAAGGCAAACCGTGACCAAGGCCGCCACAGATTACCCCTTAAATACATATACAACACGCTTGTCCAATCACATGACCTGCTGGCCTTCTAGGTCACGTGACTACCTTCTTTAGCAGCTGAAGAAAGATGGCAAATGTCACTTCTGTGCTTGAAACCCTGAGTCGTGTGTATCATTTATTTATTTCTATATAATTTTTAACGGTGTCGCTCAATGTAAGGCCGATTATTTTTGGCCACTTCTAGGCATAGAGCTAGATATAATGTAGTTATGTCAGGAGGTGGCGGTGGACCTTTGTTTTGAAGCTTTGTGGATTGTAGTCGGATGGAAAGCATCTGTTTGGAAGACAGTTTCATAATTTTGCAGTCCGGGGAAAGAAGCTGTTGTTGTAAAATGACATGGAGACATGTAGGCTGACGGTGTATTGATGAGAACTGGAAGAGAACCTTTAATTTTAAAACAGCTGAGTAGCCCAATCCATTTGTGAAGCTGCTTTCCAATGAGGGTCCAGCATACAACTTCACAGGACATGATAACACTTAGTCAGACATTTAGTCTAAGTTGCAGCGTTTTACTAAGCATAGCCCTCCACTTTCTAGGCTTAAAATGTTACTCGATAGATTGACGACACCAGAGGATATTCTCATCAAAACTCCCAATGCAGGAATCACTGTCATTTGTACGTAGATATATCAATTTCCCAGTGCCACAGAGGTAGTCTGGAAACCCTTTCTTCACTTTTAAGTTAAACACAGAAGAGTATTTCGTTGTAATGTGCACATGTACATCTATATTAGCTCTAACTTATATATTTCAATGTTGTCAACAGGGTGGTCATCTTCAACCGCATGGACTATGGTCCAGAACGACTCAACCCCTTCAACATCCAAATTGGGAATTCCTACCAGGTCACATTTTTATTATCAATTTAACACACAGCAATTTATTAAAATTTAACACATAACAATTATTAGTTAGTAGAATATTCTTTGATCAGTGACTGTTTTTGAAAGGTAACATCACGTACCTCGTACAAATTTTCGGTGTCGACTGTACACCTTGATTGCGGAGTGACTCGTAGTCTCGTGAGAACAATTATTATTATCAATTTTATTTATTGGTTTATTTGTATCAACATATCAACAGGATATCTCTCAGCCTTGACACACAGGGCTGAATTCTGATGTTTGTTTACAACATAAATCATTAATTAATAATAGGGAAATACGAATTACAATTATGTCGGAATCTACAGATTAATATGATATCACTTTGGTTCATCAAATTTAGGTATTTACAATCTTACAATCTTTCAAACTATGACAATCTTACATCGTTCAAACCTTATATTACTTAATTTAATACACAACAAAACATTAACAAGGACCGTGCGGAGCTGCACTTGAAATATAATTTACAAATAAACACATAGAGTTAATATAACAGTGTGACGAAGTCCCACCACCCCAAGACATTAAATAATACCAGTCTAATGCTTACATGGCAGGTTATATATATATAAAGCTGATTGAAGTAGAGTGACTTCTATACATATTTAATATGACTCATTGGTGGAGAAACGTCTCTGTAAATCTGATTCAATATAATGCGTACTCTGAAGTAAAAGCTAGGAATTCAGCATCCGAATCATGTATGGAATCGCGCTAGATCTATATCTTTCAGTTCTACAGAACACAGAGTCTAGTTTGTGGGATTAGCGAGTCGTCCTGCCGCTTACCGAGGTTCTAGACGGTTTAAATACAAGGACTACATATGGACCTTCTATATCTGATTAGGTAACCATGAACCCCAAGTGTGGAGGGGACCATTACATCGACGTGAGCCAGCCTTCTATTTCCGTCTCCTGTCAGGGGATGTCGGGACGGTACGTCGGGGTCCGTCTGCCCGGATACTACCGAACCCTGACCCTGTGCGAGGTTCAGGTGTATTCTAATTAAGGTATCACAGTTTTTAACATGTTTGTCTGCTATATTTTCCTCCTTGGTATCCATATGCAATATGTATGTATTGCGTATTGCAATGTTTATGTGTATGTGTATGCAATGTTATAGGATTGATTAAACACCCATGTAAAGACAATGAGAATGACATTTTATCTAGTGCATGGCCTTATGTATTAAACATCAAGTTGTTTTTGCTTGAGTCACCGTTTGGAATAACATTTAAAATAGGTAGATTCCGATTCTTTGAGTAATTCATTGAATATGTTAGTTTTGTTATTGTTTTTAGGTGCCTGGACAACATTGTATACATCCGACTGTGGAGGTGTTTCTGCCACCTGGCCTTGCTGTGTTCAGTACATTGATGGTTTCATTATCGAATTATTGTAACGTCTATTTCTACACAGTTTATGCATTGATTTATACCTAGGTTTTGTATTTAGGTCGATTTTGTTGTACCCAAGATTCTGTCTGTATGTTCGCATGTAGTTTATGAGCGTTGCTGTACTTTTGTTGTGTTAATTAAGTTTCATATTTATATGTAGAAAAAGGAGGAATTATTCAAGAGGGTTATACCTCTTGCATATAGTTTACGAAAGTTGCTGTACTTTTGTTGTGTTATTTTTCATATTCATATTTAGAAAAAGGAGGAATTATTCAAGAGGGTTATACCTCTTGCATGTAGTTTACGAAAGTTGTACTTTTGTTGTGTTAATTTTCATATTTATATTTAGACAATTTTTGACCTTTTTCATATTTTGAATTTTCCTATTTATATTTAGACAATTTTTTGACCTTTGTTTGTTTTGAAGGTGACAGCTCTTTTACTTCCCAGTCTTTTCGGATGTAGGGTTTTATGGTTTTCATTACAAAATGTATTTTAATTATGCACTGTATGATAATCATCATCATTCAAAGAAATTGTCATGAGAGTAATAAATGACCATATTTTGCTTTGAATTCTTATACCTGTTCACCAGCATTTTTTTTTGGCCGAAATCTACTTTATTTACCCGCGCGCACTAGTTTTTGGGTCTTCAGAGGATGTAATCCATAAAAGTAAGTCAGTGTGGCCTTATTTGACATGTATGTCTGATCCTGTTAACCGGTCTTTCCACACTTATTTCCGACAGATAAGTCTAGAGGAGCCGTTCAAAGAAGACGGATTTAATTCTTCTACACCCACAATTTTGTTAGCAATACAAAAATAAACAGGCAATTGTCAATAATACCATAACGCTCTTTGATTGATAGTTAAAAGGCTGTAACTTGATTTAGTGCAAATGACGTTAAACTGAGAGCGTAACTAAATTTATACCGTTTTAACGGCTTAAAGCAAAGTCAGTACACAATACACAGATTATTGAGCTTACTGTTCCCAATGTATTACAGGAGATGTCTAGTTTCTCTGCAATTAGCTCAAGACAAATCTGAGACCGTTGCGATTTGTGCTTAGCCCCGTCTGACCATATATGACCCGCCGGCGGGGATTGGATCCTGGGTATTTGTTTGTTTCTTTGTTTGTTTATTATTTGCACAGCAGCAATAAAAAATTATACATAGTAACTTGATAATGAATAAAACAGGTGCAGGAGGAGGGAAAAAAAAGCTTATTTAGCTTATGCTAAGCCCTCCTCCTCTATACTAACCAAAAGTAAACATAATTGAATTTAAATAAGGCATACATACATAAGGAATTGTTATCAAAACAATTCAAACATGGGCAAAATGATACAATAACAATAATGAAACAGTAGTATACATAAATTGAGATGAAATGAAATTGATATGAAATAATACATATATACATAAGGAATTGTTATCATAATAATTCAAACATAGGCAAAATAAACAATAACAATAATGAAACAATAGTGTACATTATATATAATAATAACTGAAGATATGAATCTAATACAAGTGGCTGGGGTGGTTTATAAGATGGGCTTTTAGGGTATTTTCAAAAGTTAGAAAACGATGAAAGGTAACGGACGAAAGCTAACAAGGCTGACACTCAGGCTAGATCCTATTTGCATAATCAGGAGGAATAACCTTTACTTTGTCAGTCATAAAGATTAGCATCATTTGGCGAAGGTATGAGATCGTGGAACTCAGATAAATATTTATAGGTGGCGCTGTATTGGGAAGGATGCGGTCCCAAACGTAACGAATGGGTCATGACTTTTTGTAAATTTTCTCGTTTAGGGGACGAATACATTCTACAATGCTTGGGACCGCAATCTTCTCACTGCAGCGCCACCTAGCATGCGAACCGGGAAACGCAATATACACAAACACGTTGGAAACTCGTAAACGGGACGCCAGGCCACACCTCCTTAATGTTATGGATAACATCCGCGCGCGCATTGATTTTCGTCTGTTCTAAAAAAAAGATCACGTCATTCGAGGCTCTGGCCTGGATAGTCCATGGTAGCTTGTTATATAGCGACAGTACGGAGCCGGTGGTAACTATAGAGAATGGCACCCAGGCTACCAAAGCTCCACGACTCAAGAACTCAGTACATACTTACAGTCCGCAAAAAGCCAGCATGTGCCGGCTTGCCGTATACGTCGCTATGTACTGCCGCAGTTATGCCGCAAATTCACAACACCAGCTTTGCCTTTGTATTCCTGTTGTTTAGTAGCATTTTTATTTTTGGCCGGATTTTTTTTTTCGCCCGCGCGCACTAGTTTGGGGGTCTTCAGATGTCATCCATAAAATTAAGTCCGTAAACACGCGAATCACAAACGAGACGTTCGTTCAAATAAACAATGCACTAGGTGTTTCGTGCGTTTTGCCGGTGTGTGCTTGTTCAACTGTCAAATAACCAATAATTAAGTGAGCTCTCACGTCAATTAACGTCTTTCCCGTGAAACCCTTAATAAAAAAAAGGTCGCTATGAATGGTGTTGACTTTGGGCCTCACTATGCTAATATTTACCAATGGCTTTACCTATAGCTAACGTGGGTACTAGTGTAGCCAAGGACACATTCATGATCACCTTTGGTCCAGGTTTGTCGTATTTTTGTTCCCGTATGTGCCCGGGGCCGTAATCTTATCCTTCAAGGTGGTTTAGAGGTCATAATGTCAACGTTTCGAACAAAGCAGACAGGAAAGAAAAATGGCGCCTGGGAGCTGGATGGTGTTTCTGTGCGTGTTTTTGCCGTTAGGAGTGGCGGTCACCCCGCCGTTTATGAACTATATCCGACCGCCCCCTAAACAGGACGAGTACGATTTCTACTGGCACGTGGGGTATTGGGAGACCATGTTCGAGTACGACGAGGAACGGGACGCGGGCAGGCCCGTACAACTCACCGGGCTGAACCGGTTCGGCAGGCGGGAGACAAATCGTGACGACCCGAACAACTGTAACAATCTGACGCCCTTAATTCTTATAACGGCTGAGGGTGAGGGATTTACTTTCATTTTCATTTTCACCTACTTCGATTTACAACACAAGTGCCATATGATAATTGCTGGCCAGTTGGAACACAAAGTGTTGGATCCCAGTGAGTCAAATGCTTGAGCATGTCCAACGTTCTATTATTATTATTATCATTATTACTATTATTTTTTAAATGTATTCTGAGTCTGCCAATGGTCTGTAGGATATAACCCTAAACTATTGGACCCCCCCCCCCCAATTAGTTAGGGTCTCAATTTAAAGCTGCATATACTTTGACATACCATTTAAAATAAACGTATATAGGAGCAATTATATACAAATAATATCCGAACAGGAATAACAGCCAAGATTAATTTCTTAAGCTCTCAAATTTTAGTACATTTTCCTGTATAGATAAATCAAAACATGGCCTCTTCCTACAATCAAACCACCTATTGATAATATATTATCGGAATGGAAAATAAACTCTCTCGCATAATAGAGTGGGTTATAAAGACAATTCTAATACTGGGAATTTTATGATATTTCGCTACCGATATTGTGGAGAGAACGACAGTGATTCTAGCCTGGGTGCAGTCCTCCGTAGTTTTCGCCTGCTCCCTAATGTTGCTTGTTACCACGGTGGTAGCCACCGACATTAGAGAGCGGGCGAAACTACAAAGGATGGCACCCAGGCTACAGTGATTCGGTAGCTACATAATATTGGTAACCAGGCTAAAACATAGTAACGACGCCCACAGAGGGCACAAAGGTCAATCCTGGGAGAAAAGTCACTTTTACCGTGAGCGTCCAGGCGTCACACGCCCACTCATGTAACCGCGTCGGTAGACATTCAGTTGTCAAACACCAAACAAAAGCCCCGTGGAACCACATTCTTTTAACACACTCAAGTTGTCTCTCACCTCAAACACAGACCCTCCAGCTTTATGTCCCAGAGGGCGTCCTTAACCGAAGCTAGGTTCTTATTTTTATCAGCGAGTCTATCGCAGAAATGGGTATAAAGAGCTTTTTAAAAGGACCTGCTAGAAATTTGAAACCCAGAACCTTTAGATTCCAAGTCAACAACCCTGACAATAAGTCGACCTTGACACACCTGCTATGTAAACATAGGCCGTGTTTATGTAAAGTCACCCAAACCGCGATTCGGGTAACTCACATTCCTCACATCTGATCCACGTGCCACACAATCCTTTGAAACCGTGTCTGATCACAATTCGCCTAAGGTACATTTATTGTTGTTTGATGAAAACACGTAGCGTGTTATTAATGTTAGAAGTCAACGACCTGCTTGCTGATGCCCCCCTCCCAGCGTATCTCGGCCGAATGCCGACGTGGTCCCGCCAGAGGCGGTGAAGCTCGCCCTAGAACTGACAGATTATTTGACCATTACTGCTCTTTAAGTTGCTGCCACGTAAAAGTTGGTATTGCATATAAATAAAGAAATATCAGCCCGTAATCCATGACCAGGCGAAGTCACATTGAAATCACATTGTCATTGCGTTCAGACGCAAATCGCGATGCGGGAAAACCGATTCGAAACCACCTCTAGAAGTGGCTTGGGATCGAGGCGCTTTCAATGTGATTTGGAGTGTTCAGATGGAGCCACTTGAAACCGGCTTCGGGGTAAACCACATGTAAAACGCCTTGGGTGACTTCACATAAACATGGCCATAGTTACTGTTACAGTATTGTATCGTGAGATCGGGTAGCACCTGTAATGCAAGTCCGCTCCTTCTACTTGCTTATTTGACTATACTAGACTGTCGATGTAGGCGGCATAACTCTGGATGGATGTTCATGATTTTAGTAGTTACTGTATGTAACAGTTGTAGAGACAAAGGTCAAGTTGGTTAATGAGCCTAATGGAGGGTTCCTACATATACGTTGTTGCAGTTGACCTTTAGTGTTTGTTGGTTAGCGTGTTAGTTTACTTGTGACAGTAGGCTACATTGATAATACTCTTATTTTGATTACCACCCTCAAAATAGAGAGTAGGACGGTTGTTGTGGCGGATGGATTCCACCGGAAGTTGATCGCCGTCAACCGGACGTTGCCAGGACCCACCATCGTCGTCTGGAAAAACGCCCAGGTCGTTGTTATTATCATTATTCGACCCTGTGATATTGTTGTTGCTCTTTTTTCACAACCAAGAGGTTCATTCAGCCGACGTTTCGGTGTACATGTACGTTTGGGACCGCATTTTAGACACTGCTCCCTGCAACATATGCTTCTTTTTTCAAATATTTATTTCACAACAATTATGTGTATATCACATATCCCATTACGTTTGGGATCGTATTGTTGATTCAGTGTACTGTAACCGTACTGTAACTTTGCGTTTGTGAACGCATCTATTACAGCAACACATGCGCTGTGCAATGTGAACTAGTCAGACTTGAGGTAGGTGACAGACGGTTACCGAATCGTTGACTGCAAAAAAAGCTCTCTAGGTTGTGTAAAAATAGTCTCTTTATTTAGTGACTTACCAACCTGATGAAATCAACATATTTATGATAGTATTTTCATGGATGTGGTTACGTACAGTTTCTTAACAATAACAGATTCATCATATGTACAATGTAGTTGATTTGACATCTTTTAATAGTAGACTGTCATCTCTTTTTCTCTATCAGTCATTGATAATAATTAAAAAAGACATATGTCGAGACAGGATTTGATACATGATTAATCAGAGGATATGAATGTTTACCTAAGCTAGTGAAACATTTATATCTTCTAACTTATCACATATTCATTCTGTCTTGTATCTTTTTTTTCTTTTTAACGGTGTCGCTCAATGCAAGGCCATTTGGCCACTTCTAGGCATAGAGCCAGCCTGTAACTGTAACAGCAACTCTTTTCCCTGAGTATCCTGACAGTTACCATGCTAACTGCCATCTGTCCAGTTATTTTTCTTTGTATGGAGGGAGAACAAAAATGAATAATACGTACTCACTAATAAATTAAACTATTACAAAAAATAATATCTCCTCTCCTTTAGAAAGACCTCATGATACACCACAACTGTGCATCTAAGTCCAGTCTTATTACCATCAGTCCAATTTCACTCACCAGGGTGACCAATTACGTTGGTACATGGTCATCACATTCACTTCACCATGCAATGTATTATCTATTCTCATCTTTTTTTATGTGTACCGAAATAAAATATTGTTTTTGCTCTGTTTCCTCTTCTTCTTTTCCAAACCAATCAGGTCAATGACATGAACCAGACGTCTGTCACCATGGTAACTAGTGTTGGGCTACATTATGTTGCCATTTTATAACAGACAGGGATCTTATTCTAGGCTCCTGTCTGACCATATATATGAAAATTTTTGAGTAAGAGTGAACAGAACATATGCGAAGATAAACATTACCCATGTTACCTTTATGATTCAAACTTTTGTTTCTTTCAAGGTGGCCGTTCATGTGACTAACAAGTTGATACAAGAAGGCATCTCTATCCACTGGCACGGCATCACCCAACACAACACGCCGTGGATGGACGGGGTGGGCGGCGTGTCACAGTGCCCTATCAACCCGGGGGAGAGTTTCACTTACAGGTGTGTGGTTGTATAATGGTACTGTCCAAGAAGTGGTCAGTTATTCTAATAAACGACCACTTTTGAGGTTACGGCCTGATAACTAATGGAAAACGGAGCCTTCTAATTGGTCGACGCCTTCTAGCGATATAATAATTAATGTTAACCAGTAGTTACTATCAACCATAAAAATAGCTTCACCTACAGATGAGTAGTTAATGTTAACCAGTAGTTACTCTCAACCCTTGTGAATAGCTTTACCTGGTTACGAGGTACACGAGATTAAACGTTGTTTTTTTCTTTAGGTTCAATGCCACAGAAGGAGGAACACACTGGTGGCACGCCCACTTAGGCACCTTCAGGACAGACGGACTGTACGGGGCGCTTATTGTACTGGAGGAGGATGAGCAGGTATGTTAATGCTGCTTGTCAAAAATGGTTTATTCCAAAATAAAATGCAACTGTATTCCAAATACAGTGTACGTTGTATTCCAAAACGAGATCCATTCCAAAACATAAGGTTTTGGTTTCACATGTTTTATTTTTAAGGTTAACCTGAAGGAATCTTAACACAGATGTACACACGTACACGCACAAACATGCACACATACACACACGCATACACATGCACGCGCACACACACACTCACATACACAAATGCAAACACTTACACACACGCCCACACATGCATACACTCATGAACACATGCACACACACACCACACACACACACACGCACACACACGCACACACACACACACCTAATGCACACGCATGCACGCACATGCACACACACGCACACACATGCACACTAACACGCACACATGCACACACACGCACAGGCACACACACACATGCACACTTGAACACGCACATGCACACTAACACACTCACTCACACACACACACAGACACACACAGACACACACAAACACACAAACAAAATATGTTTTGGAATAACAAGTTTTGGAAGGCAACAGTGACTTAATTCTCGATCTCTCCACGTTTTTCCACAGCCAAGATTGCCGGCCTTTTCTCGTGAATTCATTGTTCTGCTCCATGACTGGCAAAGGGAGGAATCACTGGATATAGCTCTCAGGGTCAACTGGGAAGCCTCAAGGTCAGTTTAATTTGTCTATACCGATCCCAAATACCTTACCTTTTTATTGTATATGAGATTATAATGAGGGTAGGTTTATCATATATATTAATTATGGTTGCTCAGTACCTTGAAGGTCAGTTCTTTATTTAAAAAAAATATCAAAGAGAAACAGACACAAAGCTTTATTGTTGGATAGTGAGCTGAACCGGCTCTTCGGCATTTTGCTGCTAGAATGTCCCACTACATTTGGCTTGCGGACCGCAACTGCATGCTAGGGGTCGCTTTTGATCCATGCGATTGGAGTACCAGATGTGGCTTACTGTAGTGGCTAAAATAAATCTTGCCAAAAATTTGTGACGTTAATAAAGGACGCATGCAGTCAGATATTCCAGTACAATGTTTATTTAAAAGCTTTTTTTGTATCTCCAGGATGTATATCGAAAACCTACATGTACATAAGCTCACTATTATTAGGTCATTACAAGGATGAGTATGGTGTTCCCTTATCTTGCAGGTTTTCCTACGGGTACGATAACAACTCCCAGTGTTACTACAACAAACGGCAGCATGACGGCACGGAGATCGCACCCATACCGTTTGTGTCAGGACTCATCAACGGGAAAGGTTATCAGATTTTACCTTTCTAAATAATTCGCGTACTATGATATAGAACGCTGAGGCGACATTTTCAGTCAAATATAGGGTGTTTATTTCTCACCGTGCATTCTATGTGTGGTATCCAATATATTTAGTACCTAAGATCCTATCCGTATTTGTTCTCAATAAGTTTTCATCTCTCAACAACATTGCGTTTTTGCTTAATGAAAACCATTATACATCGGATTAGTGTTGTTTCAGCCCACTATATGTACTTCTTGTACAGTCTACTATACTGCATTTAAATGACTAGACTATTTACTTTGAAAAACCTGGTTTACAAGTCCTAGAACTAGCAGCTTCAGTTTTTTTACATACCACTCGCGCTTTGTGTGTACGGGAAGACAGAAATCCTTGTATATTTCTCAGGCCGCCGTTACTACAACGACGGGTTGGAGTCTGAAAATCAGAACGTCCCTTTGGAGACTTTCGAGGTGCATTCTGGGGTCAATTATCGCTTCCGGGTCATCAGCGCTGCCATGAGCTACGCCTTCCGGGTCTCCATCGACCGACACGAGCTGACTATGATCGCTACTGACGGCAACAGGTGAGTATTGGTGAGAAACAGAAGTCATCATGTATATCGCCGTGTGTCTCATCTGTAGTGACAATGCGTGTCACCACTACTTTCCACTCTTTTCTGTTTAGAAGTCAAACGTATGTGTTCCTGTCGATTATACGTTTATATATTCTTACGAAAGCTATAAACTTGAATTATTGGCTTTTATTTGAAATACAAGTCCTAAGTAACAATAATGTTTTTCCTGTCAAGTCGTATTTGCTCGTGCAGGTTAATGTACATTAAACCAAGTAATGTTTACAAATACCTTTGCAGAAGGAAGACATAAACCGTTTGGCTCAGTTTCTTCTTCTTCTTTCCAAACACATAAGGCCAATGACCTACACCAAACATCTGTCACCATGGTAACCGGTGTTGCACCAGACATCCCGTGGTACACCATTATGTAGCACAACGTATATTGAGGGGCTGGTCATCAAATATCTAAGTAAGAATAAATGGAACAGTATAGTTTGTTGGGCTAGACAATGTGAAAATAACATTAATGTTTTCTATCTAGTTGTTAAATCTTCTTCCACGTTATTTACTACAGAATCAAGGATCTAAAGGCAGAGTCTTTCATCATCAACACAGGAGAGAGATTTGACTTCTACATCTCTACAAAAAACAAGCCGGTTCAGAACTACTGGTTACGCGCGGAGACACTGGAGGACACTGATATCTATGGGGTGAGTTGTGGTAACAGAACACGGTATCAACGGACGACCCCAGGAGAATAGAATGTAGTACATACAAAGTTCTTAAAGCACAGTTAGAACATCTTATGTGCGAGATAGCCAGCTAAGACTGCCTATGCTGCCTATGATTAGGATTATAAAGCTTTTCCTGTTCGTGTATTAAAACATCGTATTGCGGCAGACACGTAATGTTTTTTTTTTCTATTCCAACATTTATCAAAAGACATGGTGACTGGAGTACTGCTTCTTTCCGCTGTATCTTTCCTACGTAAGAGGCGCGAACACAGTCCAAGACCCCCCTCCCCTCGTCCGGTTCATCAATACGTTTAACTTTGTTATCCAGATCACACCCTTGGCCCAACGGATACGCATGTTTTCCACAGAGTCAGTCTATCACATTGGTACCACTCTATTACGCAGTTTCTAGCTATACGGTCCGTTGGTGGCGATCATTTGACATATGACCATATTAAAATCCTCACCTTTACACACAGACTGCAGTGCGGCCACATTCTGCCAAGGCGATACTCCACTACCGAGGGGCGCCCGTGGACAGCGACCCGGCTACTACGAGGAGACCATGCGACGCATCCAATGACTGCACTGTGGTCAACTGTCCATTTGAGTGAGATACGCGCAGGGGCTGAATACAGGCGACCTGTACAAGCCACCTACTGTACTATCAATATCTTAAAAAATGTTTGGCAATGATTTGTTCATAAAAAATGTAGCACACATTGCTTTGTCGATGAATGATAATGATAAATGATATGCTACTAGATCTACATGTAGGCCGGCTTCTATTTTGCTAGTCAAAAACTACAAGTTCGAGCTCACAAAAATCATCTAATAAGTTAAAAACCATGAAAAACTCACATTGACAAGGTACTCCGGACCGCCACCTTTACCGAGACTTCGTACGGCAGATTGTGTGTGTACCTGCCAAAACAAACTTGTTGTGACCAATGACCCACAGCGCTTGGACGAAGTAGTGTCCTTTGTCCTGTTTTGGAAAAGATCACCTCAGCATTCCCTTATGTTGAGTAATACCAATTAAGGTCCCAGAGTCACAAGATGCTAGTGGAAAAATTAAAAAACGTAAGCAGAAAATAAAACACACACACAGACACATATCTTGACAGAGGGAGGAAATCTTCTATTTCATAATCTTGGCAATCGAAAATATTCTGGTATATTTTGTTAAAAAAGACCCGGACTTTCAGCCATCTTTGTGTTGTCTGCTTCGCTAAAAAAGATATAGGTTTTCTTGCGGTCATTAGCTGTCCAGGAGGTCAGGGGTTACTTCTCAGGTTTCGGGCAGAATTCACGCATGCTGCCGCTGGATAGGATTTTTTTGTCTAAATAAACACTTTAGAGGTTGGACCACCCTGTGAAAGTGTTCTTTCAAGGTCTAAAACTTAGGTAGATGACTTTTGGCTACGATGTTCTGACATAGTTCCCATATATAAACATAGGAAAGAGAATTACTTGGTTGTCACGATAAATCAGAACTTGCCTAGTCATGTGCGGCGGAGTAATAAATACACCTATTGGCGTCGTCCCTGCTCGATACTATAAATTTGTGAACTACTAAATATAAAATCGTTATTTTTCTGTCTTTAGAAACTATCCATCCGGCAGCTATAAAACATGTATGAACGTCCACGAGTTACGGTCTGCTCTTAATGAGGACGCTCCTCGGCGGGAGAGCAAGTGGGAGGAACACTTTATCAACTTCCACTTCTCTGGGAACGAGCTGAACGGGGCTCAGCGGTCTTCTGTCAACGGACATCGCTTCATACCACCGAGGTCTCCTCCAACGGTATGTCCCTCTGTTCTTTTGGTCTACTTAAATTAATGCCAGTAAAAATACAACGTGACAAGGGATAGAGTTGCACAATTTGAGCGTAGCCTGACTAAATCGCGCTCCTGGCGGCCGCCGCCCTAGGTTGCCGCCCCCCTTGGGGTGGGGGTCATTAACCTCCGGCCGAGAGCTTGTATACACAGGCTAAATTTGAGCGGAAAACGTATAAAACGTATAAAGCGGGATTTCACTTGCAAACGCAACATCATGATCTTGAAAAATGGTGAAAACATTACTGGCAACAAGGAGAAAGATGGGAATCCTACGCCACAAAACCTCAGGGCTTTGGCGGAGCGTTTTACTTGTAAAGTTTGCCGTTCTGCGACATGGCCACACATTGCAAATCTAAATTAAAAACTATTTAATAGAACGCCCCGTCAACACATTGAAGGGCAGTTATACTGGCTACACCAATACAGAAACGAGGTGCTGTAATCTACGTTTTACTTTAGTGTAGCGCCTCGTTGCCCCTGTCCCTTGGTTTGTGCTGTTAAGAATAATACGGCATTTGTCTAAATAAACGGTCCCTGCAACGTTCCTCAGGTTGACAGGAAGGGCGCCGGTCTTACTCCGTGTGTGGACAAAGCTGTGGTGGAGAGAACTTCTGTGAATGTTCCTATTACATCAGCATAAATACCGGTAACGTCGTACAACTGGTGCTGTACAACATGGGCAGTGGTGAGTACAACTGGTCTTGAACACAGTTTACTGCATTACAGTTATAATGTCTTTACCTGTTGCTATACATATACAACATGGGCAGTGGTGAGTACAACTGGTCTTGAACACAGTTACTACAGGACTGTTATGACTATATCCGGGCTATCCCTTGAATGTAGCTACATGCATGCAAGTTTTGCAGCCCTGGTTGTAGTTGCTAAACTGATAAATGAATAAAAAATAGCTTACATCTGCCTGAAGGTTAACTAATTTACTCTATTGAAGTACGGTCTTTACGATATATCGAATGGAATATGAGTTATTGCACGAGAAAATCAGGCAGAACCAGGCAGAGGTCGGAAGATGGGGGTCGGCCAATTCGGCTCATACTTTGTATGTGAGATAGGTATGAGGAACTATTAACAGCCATATAGTTAAAACCCTTAA